TGTGTGTGTGTGTGTGTGTGTACTGCTTTTTGAGGCATCTTCTGGTGAGCGAGAAGCACTTCAAAAACTTAAGAGTGAAGTTACACTTTGACAGCAGTTGTGTCATTTCAGCAATTGATGGCAATTGTTATTTTGATGGGAGGGATGACTGATTTATTAAAACAAAATGTTTCTGTCTGTTTTCTAGTACCCAACTAAATCAAACCTAATTATAGTTTTGACTCAAAGTTAAAGTGGTTAAACACTACTTTACAGCTAAACTGTAAACTGTTACATAAGTGCAGCAGTTTGGGGTCAAACTGTGTAAAAGGGTTAATGGTCATTTTGTCCAATAACAGTCTCAGTGACACCTTGACTGTGTCAAAAGAAGTGAGATAGTAGAAGCCGTTTGCAATCACTAGCACACTGCTGTAACCAATGACCTGACACAAGTCACTCCTTGACATTTGGCCTCGTTGAAGTTTACATCCACCAGGTTTTCCATATACCTTGAGCTGAGGGTAGATCTGTCGGATCATGGTCAGGTTCAGGGCATTCAGGACTTTGGGTCTGTTCAAGGTGATCACACCAGCTCTGCCCACTTTCTCCAGCAACACTTCTGCTTCCACATGACTGGACATCTGATGGAAAACAGACACAACCTCTGTTTAGATATTTACTGTAAGAAAAGTCTTTAAGAGGTAGTTTTACAGAACATCACAGGGATCAACCCCACTTCATCCACCCACACACACACACACACTGGTGTGCTACTTTTGCATTAGTCTACAATGTAAATGAGCATGAGCTAACTTGTTTGTGATTGGCTAATGAGCTTTGATGGAAATATTACCATAAATAAAAAAATTTACAAGGCTCATACAAACTGGCTACTTATATACATTATTAAATATAAAATACTTTTTATACTGTGGCTTGGCTGAATACTTCAATTACAAAGAGATGTGCATCCAAATTGCCCATTTGCCAATTTAATCAACATTTTAAATTCAATATTCAATCAATAACTAATGTCAATCTATTACTTTAAAACTTGCTTTAGTCAAGAGTTGAAAGTAAACCATGTGTAGGGAGCCAATTTTGGTTTAGGTCAGTCAGCTTTGAGGGAACTGAGTCTTGGTATGAGACCGTTTTTTAAAATAACTGCTCACAGCAGAAGTTTGTCCCAAACAGAGATTCAGAGTGTAGGAACAATCTGCAGGTCAGACATACAGTTTGTATAACTGGAGCAGAGGGAGGACATTAATGTAGCTCTGAGTGTATCATTGATTTCTAGCTCAATAGTTCCTTTTGTGGGTTGCACATCAGTAGATTCCACATTTAACATCTTAATAACTTGAGTTTCTTTTGTTTACTTCTAAAGTCCTGCCTGAAGGAGTTTCAGAGGATATTCAGATGTCGTAGCAGGATTCTGTTCACACAATAGGAAAATATAACACAATGCAAACCCCACAAATTGGATCAAGTCAAATCTCAACTTTAATCCAGTGTACGTAATTTCAACAGAATTTAGTATCAAAACTAATTTCTGATTCTGATACTAGACAGAACAATTGAAATACACGAGCACATTAATAACTTACCATGTGTCCCTGGATTCGCTGCAGTCTACAGAGTGATCTCAGTCTGCAGGAGACAGTCAGGTAAGAGAGGGGACAAACATTAAAGACTGACAGGCTGCACACACATCTGCTTTGACTCTGCAGGATCAGAATCAATGCATCAGTTAAAATCCACATCATCACTAACACAGGATCCTTCTAAGTTCTATCACACACACACACACACACACACACACACACACACACACACACAGTCAGCATCCTACACACACCTCAGCCTGTATTTCAAACCGACCCTCTGTCTACCAGAGGAACATGCAGAGAGTGAGTTAGAGCAGCAACAGTGGGACGTGGACAGAGGATAGGAGGACAAAGGGAGGAGGACATACGACAGGTGGACAGAGGGAGGAGGACAGGTAGAAAGAGGATAGAAGGAGGAGGACAGGGGGAGGACACAGGATAGAAGGAGAATGACAGATGGAGGAGGACAGAAGGACAAAGGGCAGAGGACAGGAGGAGGGGGACAGAGGACAGGTGGACAAAGGGAGGGGGACTGTCTGTGTCATTATCTCAAAACTTCACTCAGGAATGAAGTCACTATTACTGCTCTATTAACCCAGCAGTGTTACTAGTGTAGTGTTACTACTGGGTTAATAGAGCAGTAATAATTAAGACTACGCTCCTCTGCAAACATAATTTACTTCTTATCATAAACTCTGATGTAATCCTGCAGCAATAGTCTCTTTTTCTTGCTTCGTGTAAATGAAAGTAAAGCATCATTCTACATAGACAGACTCACTGAAAGCTGAAATAGCAAAGATCAGAGCACAGGAAGGAAAAGTTGCATCAACGTGGATCAGATGTGAAGATGACTTTCCTCCATAACACTTTAAAGAAAGCTCAGACCAGTGTCCCGCTGTGGATCAGAGCTCTGCAGGGACACGTCAGTTCGCTCCTACCTGTAAGATGTTAAAACCGTCAGAGACATTCTGGTCTGTCTCTCGTCTCGTGTCCACAGAAGCTGCTCAGTAGGACACAACTCGTTCACTGCCCTCTCCACTCAAGCCTTTACTTCCTGGTAGAGGAGACAAGCTACCTCTGATTGGTCAGTGAGGATGACGCCCCAGGAGGGCTGAGCCCGCACTGTGTTTGTGCGACACTGCCCTCTACTGTCGGGGAGAAGTACTGTGTCTGCTGGTTTTACAATGTGGAACCAGAGAATTAATAATATTTATTTATTATTTCCTTCTTTTCCAAATTCAGAAGAAAAAAAAAAGTTAGTTTTCCTACATATATAATTTGTTAACACGTAGCATTAGGTAATCAAAAGTGAAAGAACACAGGCTATTATTGCATTATATATTTCTGGTTATTAGTTTTAAAAGTGTATTTGAGCATTGCTAAATGGCTGTATAAATTAATTATTATTATTATTAGCAGTAGTAGTTGTTGCTGTAGTAGTTGTAGCAACAGTGGTGGTTGAGCAGTAATATCAGAGAGTATGTCTTGTGTCGAAAGTATTAACAATGAAAATTTACTTTGTCCACAAATACTGCACAGTTTTTTATTATATGACGAGAAAAAGTGAGACAAAACTAAATGAAAAGGCAAGACACTTCACTTTTCTTTACTGCTATTTATCACACACAGTAATCACTCAAAAACAATCATAGATGCAATAATGTCTGGAATGTTACACCAATGTTATGAAATTATGAAAATGTTTTTTAAAGTTAAATGTTTTTTTTTCATATAATACATTTTCACAGAAACCTGATTATTATGACTTTTTCTTTTAAATACAAATCCATTTACAAAAACATTTGGGCAGTAAAATGTTGATCATCGTATCTGGTCAAAGAATGAAGGTCTGTGCCTCCCCTCTTTCCCTCAACGAATCTTTATCAGTCAGAGTCACTGCTGCAGGAGCTGCTGGAGGACTAAAGCAGGGATGAAGAACACAAACACACATCAATGAAATTTGAATCCTCTTAAACTGATGTAAAACTCAGCATTTAATAGAAAAATAAAATAAATCTTAAGGACAATTTATCTAAAACCTGCTTTCAGTGTTTGAGAAAATGGTTGAATCTTACCCCATGACAGTTCTTTCCTTTCTTGTGACACTTGGCATGCTTGTGACCATGCTTGTGCTTGTGGCTATGTCCATGACCATGTCCGGATCCGTGCCCTTGGCCATGGCCATGGCCCTGTCCATGGCATTGTCCATGGCCCTGTCCGTGGCCCTGTCCATGGCCCTGTCCATGTCCCTGCCCGTGGCCCTGTCCATGTCCCTGCCCGTGGCCCTGTCCGTATCCGTGCCCTTGGCCATAACCAGGCCCAGGCCCATATCCGGGTTGGCCTCCGTGTGGACCGTGGGGCTGAGAAGGGTAGTTTGGTGGTGGGACGCTGCCTGGAGGATATTGTGGGTAACCCCCTGGCATCTGTTGATGGTTGTTTGGGTAGCCAGGGGGGTACTGGTTTCCTAAACATCAGAAGAAGTGAGGAATAAGCTTTACATAAATGATTTGCAAAAGTTATTGTCAAGTTCATTATAGATTATTTGAAAGTATATGTTTACCTTGGTTGTGTCCGTACATTTTGAATCTTCAGACAAAAGTACAGATCCTAAAAATGAAAGAAAAAGCTGTTTGCATTTCAATATACACACAGAGTCCAGGAACTTGCAGAGCACAGATCATCAGCAGAGAGTCAGAGGAGAACTTACTGTGTGCTGGAGAGAAGGTCTACAGACAGATGCGACACCTGTTGGTCCCTCTTATGTGCAGCCGCACCTCAGTTTGAGAACTCAACTCCCATCAGAACATTCTTCCTTTGTGACCTAACTGGGTGTGTGTGTATCTAATATTTGACATAAAATCATTATGGACCATATAAGATCTAATCTTGACTGTAGATACACACAGCCACACCAAAACCTTTGAGATGTTGTTATACTGAGGTTTTTGTCCCTGATGTTTTCATCATTTCCATAATACTAGAATTATTTGATCTTTTCCATTGCTTGATAAATTAATTGTTATCAGAGTGTAAAGTTCATTTATTAAACTTATCAAGAGCACTGTGCATTACTCTGCAGTTTTTATCTGCTGTCAAACACAAAACACCAGTGACTGGTGCCGGGCCAGCAGTGCAGTAAAGTTTCATTAAGGCAGTGACAACAGCTACATACGTGAATTCTCATTTCTCCAGTTCACAGTAAATCACACCAGGGTTATTTGTAAAAAAAGTGGAAGATTGACATTTAACAAACCTATATCTTTGATCCAAGAGGTTGCACGAGAATGCAGTAGGAGGGTGCAGGGTGTGTAATTGTTTGTGGAAAACTTTGCTGAACAAAGGTCTGAATTCAACCTTCCCTGGGTAAATACAGATAATACCAGTGGACACTGATAAAGACCAAGCAGAAATAAGAAACCCTGAGGTCAGATATGAAATAAGAGGCATGACATAATTGAGATTAATTGCTTTTATTATCAATATGCTGTTTATCACAAAGGAACAATTCATGTGTAAGACATCTGTCAGTAGCAGACTGATGGAAAAGTTCTTTAAAGCAGCTAATTCATCAGAAGGGAGTCAGAGACTGGAGCTGTGTTGCTATTTTGACCTTACATATGAGATACACTGAAGATATTACAACATGTGGCAGCTAAACAAGACTCAAAAAGAGATGAGATGAGATGAAAAAGCACACGTGTTGGTTGCTGAATAACTGTTTACTATGGTAGGCAGGAAGACCAAGGTTCCCGGTGGTTTCTCTTCACATCTAGTCAGAGTCGCTGCTGCAGGAGCTGCTGGACGACTAGAACAAGAACAACACATCGTCATTTCATTTAAATTCTACACACTGA